TTATTTTGAGAAAGGTTTAAAGCCAATTGTCATTCCTGTACTTTGAAATTTTATTGCTTCTTGTCTCTCTACTAAGGATTTGTTCATTGTCATCCCTCTACTCCACCAAAGAGCCACACGTCATCCCTCTACTCCACCAAAGAGCCACACGTCATCCCTCTACTCCTCTTTTTTGGTTCATTGCCATCCTTTTCCTAACGCCGTTTATGTTGTCGTCACTGCTGACCATTAATTCACAAATGGTCAGCAGTTAATGCATTTGTTTAACAATTTTTTTCCACCTATGCTAACTAGTGGGGACCACCTTTCCACACGTGCTGCCACCCAATCAAATAAAAATGACTCTCCTTTCCATTTATCTTTTGACATATTCTCCCAAATGCTTTGTAGAAACCTTATGCCCAAATTCATTCAAATTTTAACTAATAAAATAGCAAGGAGTGACATAATAGATTTTTCACCAATAAAAAAAGGTTAACATATAACTAACACCATAAAATAACACTGTAAAGTACAAACCAAGAAACCAAAAAAAAAAAAAAAAAAAAAAAAAGAAAAAAGAAAAATAAAAAACAACTTAACATAACATAACAAAAATGTGTCAAGTCCAAATGAACAAGCAAATTAAAATTTCAAAATACAAAAATGTAATTTGAAATTTAAGGGAAAGAAAAGAATATCATAGAAAGAAAAAGTAATGTTTTACTTCACTCTTTCAAAATTAAGACAAATTTTTTTAGCCTTATCCTACCTTCTAAAAAAAAAGGGAAAAAATAAACTCATAATTCATCTAATTAGATATTTACTCATCGACAATGTATAATTACTAAAACAACATAAAAATTAAGATTTAAAATGCTAATATCAATTCTTTCTTACTTATTAGAAATAGCAACAATATATTTACTTACTTTTTCTTCCTATCTCTCTCTGATAGTCTTATTTGGCCTCTCTTTCCTATCTCTTTCATCATTTACTTTTTCTTCCTTTCCCTCTCTTATTTTATTCTCTCACAAATCACAAATTCTACTCAAGGTTTATTTCTTTTCTCACCCTTATTTTTGTATCACAAGGCACTTCAATGTTAAAAAATTGTGGAGTCCTTTTTTATATTTTAACAACTTATCAAAATTAAATGCCTCATATACTCCTCACTTTCTCTTAATTGATACTTTTCTTAGTTACTATAATCTTTTGCTTAGTATATTTCTCCAACTCCACCATCAAAGTTCTTTTTTTACCCCTTGGCTTTTATCTCACAAACTACCTTTTGTTGATAAAACTATTTTTTTTTTTTTTGTATTTACGTGTAAGATTATTTTATTTAACAACCTTTTTTTGAATAAGTTTTCTTTTTGAAAAAATACAATAGATTTTGATAGTATTTTTTAAAAACTAATTGAGACTTCAATACTATATTTGAGTGATTTATCATGTCATTTACTAAAAAATAGTAATTTGCTACATTTTAACTTTATAAATTTATGTGATATTTAAAGTGATATCTTAAAAATAATAAAAAAAGTAGTATACACTTTACAAATTGCTTAATGATATTATTATTATTATTTAATATAATTTATTAAAGTCAAAATATTATTTGGTATTTTATTATTGAAAGTGTTTTTTAATTTATATTATACTAAATTGCAAAATATAAACTCTTAAATTTAATATAGTTCAAATTATAAAATAATAAACTCTTTCATCATTTACTTTTAATAATATTTTTTTTTATATTTTTTTCTTTAAAAGTAAAAATATATCCCAATAATCCAGAAAGTGGGTTGAAAAATGCTAATTTCATTTAATCTAGGGCTGGGCATTAGGTTTCTGCAAAAAAATGAAAAAAAAGGATGCGTTTGAGGAACCGGAGTGGAAGATAATGAAAAGGAAAGTAGATGTGGTCTCTACTAAGTTAGAACAAGGTAAAAAAAAAAAAAAAGAAGAATTGTGTTAACAGTTGATTAACAGCATAAATGGTCAACATAAACGGCTCAAGGAACGGCATCCAAATAAGGACGACATTTAATGGAAAAAGGCAAATAGAGGGATGTCGTTGATTAGTGTTTGGGAAGTAGAGAGATGATAAATGAATAAATCCTCAGTAGAGAGGGATGAGAATGAATAAAATTTAAAAGTAGAGGAATGACAATTGGTTTTAACCCTTTGAAAAAAAAGTAAAGGTTTGCTGTATGATTTAGAAACCCAAAAAATTTATATTCTTTCTATTTTTTTTGAACGGATTTTACAAGGGACTGGGTTCGAACCCCAGCTCTGGAGGAGGGGAGAATGCACCATGGGTGGCTATTGCCACTTGGTCCGAAGGGCTCGGTGCCAAAAAATTTATATTCTTAAATAGACTAATGAAGAAATTTGTATATTTATCTATATCTTTGTCCATTTCTTTTGGGTTATATTTGGTGTGGTTATAATACACTCTTTCTTGTATTTTATTTCTGCTTTTGCTTAATTTAATCATATAACCGTATGGACGTAACTTCTTAATCTATACCACGAGATAACATTCCTTAAAGCTGTAAATGCCCAAATGACTTTATGTTAATGATAATATTTTAACTTAGTTAAAAAAAAAAAAATAAAAAACTGAAATCCAATAAAAAAAGAATAAAAAGAAATTAAGAAAAAATTTTTTTTTAAGTAAAAAATTCTAAATTTGAATCATAAGTATGCAATCAATGTAAGTAAAGAAATGAAAGATTTATCTTTTATGGAGCGATTCAAAATAAATAAATAAATAAGAATTTTACTTAAGTACATGACAACTAAAATGAGACAAGCTTGTAAAAAAATAAATCAAAACATCACCCAAATGGCCAAAATAACGTGGTTTTGTTGGTGGTATTTTTTTAAAAGAAAATTCACACATTAAACTGTATCAATAATATCTTGGTGCAACAACTGGCATGCAAAAATTTGATCGAAACACCTTATGTCTGACTGAATCCAGAAGAAAACCCATATAAAGTTTTAGATTAGGCATAGCCGGTACAAAATTAAGGAATCAACAACCTTGGCATGAACTTCAACTTATTGATGTGCCAGCGTAGCATGCCACATATTCCACTAGAAAAGGCTCGGGTCGTGGGAGATGGAAGAGGCTTAACAAAGGGCTAGCACCATCCTCGGGCAAGAGGAAGGACGAAAAGGGGAATGGAAATAGCATACAAAGAGAAAAGGAGAATGCCAAAATTCTAGTTCATAACTCTAGTACGGCGATGGTGGTGATGAGAGGGAATTTGGATCCTCCTCAGGGCTAGATTTTCTGTAAAGATTGACTCATAGTGGGTGAGGATTGTTACGTGTCAAAATTTTGGTCTTTCTTAACTTTCGGTGTCGTAGATACAATTATTTTAAGCTTATAGATGCTCAAATAGTATAACCCTTTCTTTGGCGTGTCAACATTCATCTGATGCTTACTAGTATAAAAGACTCTAGGTACTTAATTAATTTATTTTTGAATCATTTCAATTGGAATTAGAGTTATAATCTCTCACAAGTGTAGTTCATGTTACTTTCATGATCAATGGTAATATAAATTTCACATTACTTAAAGTTGATTCTATACTTTGTAAGAAGTTAACTTATTTTTTTAATTATCAATGAAATCTATATTTTTTTCTTAAAAAAATTCTAATTATTTTCAAATTCCTTATTAATTGAGCCCCACTAAATGTAATACGAATTTTAACATATAATAATTGTGCTTTTATAAAATTTAAAATCTTTTTTTAAGTGTAACAAAAAAAAAATTTGTATCAATTAAAATTGAACGGAAAGAGTGCAATCTCAGGAAACAAAAGATTTTGTGTGTCCATTTCCTACTTGCATGGCATCAGCAAGATTCTATTAACAGTTTATGATCTCCATCAATAAAGAAACGGACATTGTTTTTCATTTTTTAATAATCAATTGTTTATTATTCTTTATTATTCTATTATTCAAATTTCAAACAGCCCAAAGCTGTCTATTTCCCCCAACAAACGCCACACCCCTAAAAAGTCTTCACCACCTATTTAAGTGTGAACCCGTAGAAGATTGATAAGTCTACACCGGATATTGACTTTTATAATCTGAATTCAGATTTTTCAGCACCTTTTTTTTCAAACTTCTCCAGTGTTGCCGTCCACATTTCAGAATCCACATGCATTTTTTAAGTGGTTTCAAGAACTAATAAAAATGTCAATGAAGCCTTCACGTAATGATATGTGATGGCATTTACATCTCGAAGTTTAAATATCAAATCATATATTTACAAATTTTTTTTTAAGGTTTTTGCAAATTGATTTAGCAATTTAAATGCACCACATAAACCTAGGTACCATAAAGTTTCATAATCATGTGGTGTCTAGTAGTAATTATATTTCAATTTTATGTTGGTCTTGCACTCTTGTTTATCCACAATTATATTAGTTTTGAATTTTTAAAAATTTTATTTGATTTAACTATTAAAAAATAAATAATAAATCATAATTGATATTTATTATTAATTGATATATAAGTATAGTTATTTATAATTTATATCTCATTATAAAAAATTAAAAAACAACCATCAACCGCTCACCAAACAAAATTAAAATTGAATATATGTAAAGTCGGGAAGGAAATCTAAAGGTTTAATTATTATGCTAGCTTTGATGCCTTGTGTCTTTTATTGAAACTAAGCTTATAATATTTCTTATAGGGCAGGTGCCCTTAATAATTTTTTTTAATCAAAAAATTAAATTAAAATTGATTTAATAATTTAATAATAAAAAGTGTTGTACAGCTCTAGTGCAGGGTGATTCATTGTTATTGAGAGTCAATTTTTTATTTAATAATTTTTATTTTATATTTTAAAATAATTCAAATTATAAAATACATAATTATTTAATTATAGAACTAGAAATTACTTCTAGCATTGAACCTCATCATTTACTCTAATAATTTCCACGGTCTTTGTTCTTCAACCACCCAATTGTTTTTTAAAAAAGTTTTAGACACGTTCTAAATGTTTCTTTCAACAGATTTTGTGAAAGATGACATGTTGCTTGCTAACGATTATTACAATTAAGAACATTGAAATTGCTAATTAATAAAAGACGACCAGAATGACTGATCTTCCACGGGGAATCCGAAGCTACAAGAAATGTCCGGTACGACTTCGTAGTCATCTTCGAGTTTCAGGAGGTATGGCGGATGCAGAAGGCCCTGGCTGGGGTTATCCTCTTCTTCTGACTGCTCTTGTTCTAAAACATTAGAAGAATCTGCAGGCTCTGTCGAAGAAGAATGGTTTCCATTCGTGTAAATTGGACTCTCGGAGTCGAAAATGGCACTTTTTGCAGAACTTGCTTCTTCTTGTTTACAGACCAACAATGGCAAATCAGAAAAACTACCCGGAACTGTATCGAAAGTGGGTTCTTGAGGTTCTGAATTCGAAGAATCAATGACATCAATCTGAAGAGAGCCATGTTTTCCTGTCTCGGTTATAAGCAATTTCTCCTTCAAGGAAGAGATCTGTTTCAAGGAAAAAAGATCACGTGAATTAAAAAGAAAACTCAAAAGGGCAATGCAGTATGTGGGTTTTTTTAAAGCTAAAAAGGGTACCTGATTTTTCAAATCCTCCCCTTCCTTGAGGAGATTCTCATAGTCATTCTTAAGCTTGTCATATCTGGCTTTCAAGGAGTCATAGTCCTTTTCCAGCTGCTTGTTCTTAAATCTGGCTCGCCGGTTTTGGAACCAAATTGCGACCTGGCGAGGCTGCAACCCCAGTTCTTTTGCCAGCCTGACCTTCCTTTCCGGTTCAAGCTTGTTTTCAACCTCGAAGTTTTTCTCAAGGAACTGAACTTGACTGGTTGTCAGCCGCCTTTTCTTTCCCGGTGGATTATAAGACCCATCAAAATCGTCATCTCGATCTTCTTCCTTATCAAGAAGTTCGAAGAATGGCGCGTCTGTAGCGTCTAATCCATTGACATTCTTGTAATCAGCCATGGATTTTGGAGCTGGAACAGAGAAATACAGAAACCAAAAATCAGGGGGCAGAGGAAAATTTGAACATTTTGTGTAAGATTGACAAACCATTACTTTGATACTCTGTTCTAGAAGATCCAATTCATTTGTGTACTAGAAATCAAGATATGAAATGAATGCAAAAGTGATGTTTTGGAAATTTCTCAAGCACATAATATGCAAAAACCCGTGACTGAAAAACAAGCAAAATTCAGTCTAGACACTAGAATGCAATCCAACAAGCAACCAAGGGGAAACCCATTAATGAAGATTGTGTAAAGAACAACCCCAACGACGTAGAAAGCGAAGAATAGAGAGAAAGGAAGAAAGCAGGAAAAGACAATTACCCTGAAGAGGATAGGGAGTGGGAATCCAGAAAGAATCAGGAACTTCAGAGGAACAAGAAAGGTTTTGACTTTGAATCAAAACATTCATCTTTTGTTACTCCCACAGATTTTGCCACCTATCACAGTCCAATTAAGTAAATTTCAACTAAGCAATTTAAATTTGCAGACGCTCAATTCAAAACACCATTTCTCTGAGCTTGACCTGTGGTGTATTATGCATCAAAACAAGAATGGGAATCAGTGGGATTGTGAAAAGATTGAAAGCAACAAAAGCAAGAACAGATCCATCATTCAGCAGTCACAAGAAAAGCAAACTGGGGAGATCCAACAAGTTTAGAACAGAGAAAAAGGGCCCTGCTTTTGGATTGAGAAAGAAAAAAGGGGTTTTGTTTCTTGGTGGATAATGGAGAGAGAAGCTTGTAAGGCTTCTCTTCAAGTAGTTTTCAAAGCAGAGTGCTTCAAAGTATAAAACTTGAAAAGTGAGATTCCTCTCTGGGATGGGGGGCTCGATGGGGTTTTTATCTCCAGCTTTAGGGAAGGGGCATGGGATGGGATTGATAGAAGCCTTTACTTCTCTTATAGGGCCACCAGACAGCTTGGAGTTACCAGAATGTCCCTAGTCCTTTTCTTTTGTTTCCTTTTTTAATACATTTTTTATGTTTGATTTACTTCTTTAAAAACCCCATATTATAAATTTAATATGTGAAGAATAGAAGCCAAGTCTTCATCAGAATTTTATTTTTATTTTTAAATTCTAAAAATTTGTATCTTTTTAAGTGGATTTGATAGGAGACTATACAACCAGAATACTCTTTCACTTTCCAAAAATTTCTTCACTTCTCTCAAAATTAGAATTTCATATTGTTGCCAGTTTGAGACACCCTGTATTCTAAGTACTTCTATTAGTTTTCTTTCTTGTTAATCTTTGGTGTTTACACTATAATTAGAATAAGATGATACAGCAGGGTCAGAGCTTGAACAAGATTAGTGTGGGGGTTAAATTTTTTTAAAATATAATATAAATTATAACATATATAATAAAAAAGATAACTCAACATGAAAAACCACTAGGAGCTAAATTAGGATATCAACTATAGTAAGAATTATTAGTTGTGTTTTAGAAATATCAATAATCAAGGCATTACACCTATTTGTATTTTGCTACAATAATTGAAAATAATTATGTAGAGCAGAACTTCAAAGATAAAATTTTAAAAGAAAACAATCAATCCTTCAATTAATTATTGGGGTTTTTTTTTAATTTTTTAATTAAATTTTAAGATCATGCATTAAACATACGTTACCCATGCATTACTCATGCATTTTACATAATTTCAACCTCTTTGTAGTTATGCTTTTAGGTTTTATTATATATAGTCATTGCATTTTATTATATATAAAATTAATTATTAATGACAAAATTTTCTCGATAATTAAACTTTATTAAACCTAAATGTTTATATTTTTACATTTTTTTTCTACGAAAGGGTAGACCTTGTGTCCAAACCTTATCTTAAATAGTTTCACCACTTAAAATCACACTATTTAAATTTTTTTATTTGGTCATGTTGTTATAGGAGATTCTATCCTAAAATCACTTTTCACAAACATTTATTTGAGATTCCCCAAAATTATCACTTTTGAAAGAACTTTGTAGTTCCTTAGAAAAATTAATCTAAAATATCAAAAAACTGTAATGGCTACTTTATGCCATAAATTTTTTTAAGAATAATCGAAGGAAAAAAAAATTACTTTATAAACCTATTTTCTTTTATTTCACATAAATGCTTTGAGATTGGATTTAGGAACTTAACTATAACTTTAGACGCAATATTTGCTTATTTGTTAAATTTATATATAAAGTTATATAAGAAAATAACTGGTATACATTTGTTTTAACATATTTTTTTGATATATGTATGATTCAATTATTAAAATATAAAAAAATAATTGATACACCCTTTAATTCAATACACTCATCAACACTCACCAGTTCAGTTATTAAATTCTGCAATGGTGAAAATAATATTTTTTTAATAAGTATGTTATGGAGTGGTTTGAATTGAAAGTACACAATCATTATCTTAAAATATAATATATGTATAGTCCGATTTAGTTGATTCTTATATCTTATATGTATAATTGCATCTTAAAGTTTATATGCCTTTAATTTCATAATAGATAATAATAATTTTTAATAAATATATTGTACAGTATGTTAAATCAGAATATGTATTGATTAGCATTTACTTATATTTATTAATATATTTACCAAAATTTTTGGCATTCTTCTCACAGCAAGCGGCCCCTTCTCAAATAACATTGAATTTGATAAAAGATCGTCAGTTATAAGAATTGAGACAATATTTTGTCACACTCAGCCCAAAGTTAGTTTCCACTCGGATTCATCTTCACAATTTTAATGTTTGAACCAAAAAGGGAAAAAAGAAAGTTTATATTTTTCCATAAAAAAGAGACCAAAACTCTGTTTTAATGATTTAAACTAAGTTGGGGATTTCTAATATTAGATATACTATTAAGTAAGTATTATCTTATATAAATCAAAATTAAAATTCAAAATTTAAGACTAACACTTAAAAAAATTAATTTCTTTAAATGTTAGTTAATGAAAAGATGTGCCTTTAAGATCAAACATAAAGGAATTAGTTTCAAGACATGCGTAAATTAACTCAAAAGTACACTAACTGCCCAAAAAAAGGAAAACTTGGGGCTTCTTAACTGTAGATATGGAATTGGGACAAACCCTTTTTCATATAGTTCATTGAACTAGAGAGATTTTCTAGGAAAAGTATCTCCATGTCCATATGAAATTAAATTCGGTGGCTTAACATTGTTGGGTCATCATCAAAGAACTGAAATGAGAATGCAATTTTGTGCCTAATTCACTGATTCGGAGAGGTAATGGAGACGTAGAAGGCAAAATATCTTCGATCTCTTGATGAGAATTTGGTTTGCCTCATAATTAAGCTAAAGGATTTTGTAATTCATAATCTTCGTTTGTACAGGTCTATAGATAATTTTACCCTTTGTATATACATAAGAACTCAAGAAAGCAATACATTTCTTTTTATTTTCTTGTACCTTATTTTTCTAACAGCCCGGTTTCGTCTTCAAACTCAGCACTACTTGTTTCTTAGCTCTTTTTGCTTTGATTTTTCCTTTTTTATTAAACTTGTTGTACAACAGGTTAATTTCTTAGAATTTAAAATGATAATAAAGCAGGTTTTAGCAAGCTGAACATAGAAATAGCTTTGGCAAAGGGCTGATAATGAGAAGGAAAGAGGAAGTGTTTTGCAACTCGACACATGCTTTATTAATTCAAGCATGATACAATGTTTTAATCTATTCAAGCACTTGCAAAAGTTGTTTTCGAGTCGTGCTTCTGCTTTATTTGCTTGCAAGGAAAACTAGAACATATGGAAAAGAAAGAGAAAAGGTATTATCACAAACTTTGCATTTTATCTTACTTAATGATACCAATTAAGTTTTTAAGTTTTTAAATAAGGTTGTCAATTTTTTATTTTTTTGAGTTAAAATTTCATTTTGATTTCTCTACTTTAATAAAAATCTCATTTTTAGTGTTTTTATTTAAGAAAGTCCATTTTTGGTTATAAAGTTTATTATCAACCCTTTTTTAGTTCTTCCATTGTCTTCTTGTATCTGTGCATGTTGGATGACGGAACTTCCTAATAGAGGAAATAAAATGAGGCTTTTCATATGGTTTAAAATTTGAAAGTTCTGTCATCTAATGCACCTTGTGTGCAAAAAATTAACGAAATAACTAAAAAGAAACATAATAATAAACTTTAAGAATAAAAAAAGAGATTTTTTAAGCAGGACTAAAAATGAGTTTTTTTGTTAAAATAAAGGATCAAAATGACATTTTAACTTTTTTCTTTCTAAATAAGAGTATAAACTTTATGAATTTTTTATTTAAGGATTTAGAAGATGATAATACTAACGCAACAAATTAAATCTACACATGAGAAAAGTCTTTTAAGTCCGTGTTTGAGATTCACGTGATAGACTTGAAATTAATACCAAACTTGCATGTGATGAGGATGTGTTAAGTAAAATAAATTCTACATTAAAAAAATAATATGAAAATTTTGCATTAGAAAAATAATAAAAAAGCATATAAGTTAAATATAAGAAAAACTATTTTACTTATAGCTAATTGATTTTAAATTGGATAATTATACATACATCCAAACAATCAACACTTATCTCAACACCCAAGGCTGATGAACAGTAAAATTACAAATTTACCCCTCCTCATTTTAGTCTTGGGTGTTGAGATGGGTGTTAATTGTTTTGGTGTATCTATAATTGTCCTTTTAAATTTGATGCAAATCTTATATTAAAACTCATATACCTAATTTTTACATTAAATGTAGTTTCTTTTAAGTTACAAGCACAATAATCTAATTAGAGCATGTATAATAGGAGTTTTCTTTCCCAAAAGAGACTATTATTATTATTATTATTATTATTATTATTATTATTTGTCCAGGGCTAAAACGTCAACGCAAATAACAAATTTTATTCTTTTTCCAATAATTTTTTTTAAAACGAATTTTAATTATTTTTTGAATTAAATTTTTTAGTGAAAATTTTATTTTATTTTCACTAAAATTTTGATGCAATTAAATTTATTATCATATATAAGTTGATTTATTAAAATGTAATTTGAATTTGTTAATGTATATTTATAAAATATTAATTTAAA